CAAGAAAAATAAAACAGATTTATAATGCTTACCTGATGAAGATCGAACAACCTAGAGGATAGGAGCAAACGACAGCAGCAAAACACAAGCTTCACAGTTGCAAGGTTGAAGGACAGTGGAGGTTCGAAGAGAGAGAGAAGGAGATGAGTAGTGATTCAAAATAGTAAGGGTTTGTTTTGTGTAGATGGAAGAACGAAAATGCGGGAACTGTTCAAAAAACGCAAGACACGAAGACGGCGTGACAGCTGCCTTTAGCCAATAAGACCATGCCGCGTGTCCTTGGAATAAGAAGCGATTCAGTCTCTGTGATTGAATAGACGTTTTGACCGGACAGGTAAAGCCGGCGTAAATTTAGCTCGGCTGGTAGACAAAGTAATCCCTATCATGCTGCGCAGATGGAATTAAGGGGCAATTGAGAGGGTAATTTATATGAAAATTAGGCCGAGCTGGGCAATGGGCCGTTATGGGCCACAATACAATGGGCTGAGTAAAAAGGCTTTGAAGTTAGTCCGGTCTCAGAGCCTTGATGATTAGTCCGGTCCCTGAGAGCCTATTGTTATATCGGTCCAGGAGAGTACTGCGGATTGTTCGGTCGCCAGAGTTAGCTCGGTCGTGGCATGGTGCAGTTAGCTCGGTCAGACCTAGCTAATTGTTAAGCACAGTCTAAACTAACACTATGGTTAGCACGGATTGTGCAGGTAGAACCGAGGTAAGAGCAGTGAAAGGAAGAACCGAACTAAATATAGTTCGGTCTAGTCTGCGGCTTAGCATAGCCATGTTTACCTCGGTCACAGAAGTCCGACCATGGTAAAACCATCTCACTTGGTTTGTGCAGTGAGGGTAGTGTTGAAGGATAAGCATTATCTTTCAGGAATGTGATTCCCAGGAGGACTCTACATGGAGGAGTAAGAGTCCTACTTGGATTGTGCCACACGGAACCTATAAAAGCTCATAACATCACCTATGGAGAGGTAACACAACTTTGATTCCTGAAAATACAGAGCTTTTTGTCTATTTGTCTATTTTGCTGACTTAGGCATCGGAGAGGTATCCGGCACACACCCGCCAGCTAACTCACGTTTGTATTTTCAGGGAGTAAAGCGACGACGTACGGAGGAGCGCCGACTTGATCAACAGGATTATACGAGAAGGTTTATTTCTTTCCCGTACAACACATCTTCACTTCTTTTGGGATTAATTAAGCCTATAATGATAAATTAGGGTTTTCCCCTCACTCTCAACACGAACATGCCCAGCTACCTCTTAATTAACCGAAACACTCGTAACTCATCCAATTCCAACCCCCAAGATCCAAACCCCAAACCCCTATCATGCTTTTTGTAAATTTTCTTAACAAACTTGTTTTTAAATGCTATAAAAACTATCACATATATATCTATAACAAGGTATTGAAAACGAGGAAAGAAATCCCTATCTCAAGCAAGAAGAGAAGAAAGCCCGAAAATCTAACTTTAACGAAAACATGATCCACTCAAATTAAATGGAAGCCCTCACTGAGCTCTACATTTTGGTATAAGGAACTAGGGATCAAATATGTTTAGAAATAGATGAAATTAAGACTAAAAATCTTGAAAACTAAAAAATGACGGAAAAAGAGAGAAGAAAGAGTGAAAAGTGAAGAGATTCGACCCAAGAAGTGACTTTTAAATATATGATTCTGGACAGACCGCTTGAGCGGTCAAAAGTGCGCTTGAGCAGTGAATCGAGACTTCCAGTATCTCAGACAATTTTGAAAAATAGAGTTGGAATGGTCTACAGACTGCTTGAGCGGTGAAAGTTGTGCTCGCTCGAACGAACTATGCACATAGTGCAAATTCACAAACTTCAAACAGGCATAACTCTCTCATCCGGAGTTCGTTTATGGTCGTTCTTATGTCCAAATGGAATCCCCAAAAGTAATTTTCAATGATTCTAATCTCACATCAAGATTCAAAGAATGGAGAGAGAAAATGATAAAAGCATAAAGACTACTCAATAATAACTATTCAAATTTAGAGTTTTTGATTCAATCTCGCCCAACGATTATGTAACACCTCAACGAAGGCTCAAATAACGACTAAGAAGGTTTTCAATCATGATAATCAAAGAGTGAAAAATAATTCCATTATACTAGGAAGTACGGAGTGCTACATAATTGGAGCGCCTCTAATTGTGATAAAAAAAATCGCGGGTCAAAGTCACAAAACAATCCATTAAGAAGATAAAAAGGAATCACACATGTGTACCCTTAATTACCTAGTGAATTCACGCCCGAATTGAACCGACTTTGATGTGCTTCTTCTACCACCGTCTTCACCTCATGATTGTCTTTTCTAACGTTGAATCCACAACGCTAATGTTGAATTCACGATGATAAACCACTCTGGAATCCATCAAAGTTTCAGACCCAAGTTCCCCAGAATCTAACGAAGAACAACTTTCTTTTTTGTGAATAAAAGAATAAAGACAAACCCCTTGATGATACCAATATGACACTTGGAGATCCATCGATCGCTCTCAAATCATCAAGGAAACACTTATAAAAATACTCTGAAATATAAAAAACCTTGGTAGCTCTACTCTACTAGAATTTGGACGGCTTCAACCCTAAAAACCGCAAACGGTGTACTTTATAATAAATAGATTCACAAAGACTGCTCGAGTGCATACTTCACCGCTCGAGCAATGTGAGTAAAGGTGGTGCAAAACATATAGATCGATTGCTCGAGCGCACATTTCACTGCTCGAGCAATGAAACATATTTTCTAGAAGTTCAATTTGCAGGCAGAGATACTAGATGTTCTTATTCACTTCTCGAGTACACAAATGACAGCTCGAGCAGTCAAACAACTTTGGCTTTAGAGGAGTTGCCCTTCAATCTCGCCTAGGCGCTGCCTCGTACATTGTTAGTGAAGTGGCAAACAAAGAATGCTCGAGATACAAAATGTTAGCACAAATTCCATTACTTAGGCACTACTCAGGTTGGATTTGCTTCTAAGCACTCATAGCCTCATTGAAACAAAAGAGCAAATAAAATTACAACTGAAAATAGTTTTGTAAAATGAAATTGCCAATTACAAAAACCTAATAGAAGTGGTTAGTATATAGGTAAGAGTTCTCTCATTACAGAGATATGTGTTTGATTGTTTTACATTTCCATTGTATTTGTATGTGAGAATTCTATCAAAAACTACACAATGTTAGATCAAGAATGTATATTTAAATTTATTTGGGATCCATAGTATAAATGATTTTTGACTTTGATTGAAAATTCTCGATAATTTTCTAATCAATTTTTTCAAGTATGTAGTGCCCATTTTGGCCTTTCCATTACAAAATAATGTGAGAATGATATTATTGAAACTAGCATATATGGTCATATGTTCTATAGGTTTTTTTTTTTTTTTTTTAAATTGGTAAGAGAATATTATATTTTACAGATATCAAGATAATTACGTAGTTATTTAGTGTAACTTATATGAGTTGTTTATAACTTTTTTATTCTAAGAGTTCATGTCAAATTATTTGGTACTACTTCTACTTATAATTTATTAGGTAAAAATAACTTAAATAAGTTAAAAAAAGTTAATTTTTGAAAGCTAGGTTGAGGGTACTTTTGATTTTGATTTTTTGATTATTAGTTCTTAACTTACAATATATTATAGCAAACAACACCTATGTGAAGCTGAACAATCAACAATTTTAAAAAAGTCCAACAATATATACTGCACAAGCTAACACCATCCAAAGAAAGATTATAATGTGTGGGAAACTATTTTGTGAATGGCGCCACATGGCCAGGATGGCCCTAAGATGTCGGCTAAGGTGTCACGTGGATAAATTATGTTGTTGAGGTGACCACGACATTGTCAAGATGTTTTGCGGTAATACCGGAATCCCGAGGTATCCAGATAAGGGACAAGAGTCCTAGAACAGAAGAAACTCTCAGTCTGGATAAGGATAAGGTTCATGAGGAGTTTATTTCTATCTAGCTGAGAGTCCAGGATGATTATTGAGCCTAAGTCCAATGAAATGAGGTTTTTAGGAGACTAGGTCACTGCTAGTTATAAAAGCGAAGCATCCTCATGGATGTGAGGTAAGTTTTTACTTGTGAATTTAAGCACTATTTTGATATCTTGATCGTCGGAGTATCCTTAGGTGGATGAACCACCGTGATATTCTCATCTTGTTATTGGCAGGAAGTCAGGTCAATTTATTCTGCCGGTACTTTTCAATTAAATTTTTCATTTAATTATGTGATCAAAAATCAACATTCACATGATAAAAATGAAATAATCAATTATTATATTCGACAAGAATCGATGATTGACTTCTAAGTTAAGAGTACACAGGAATAACAAACTCAAATTTTTTTTTTTTTAACAAATAATCAACACAGTTAGCGCAAGTAGGAATGTTGTACAGTCTAGTTTTTTTAACAAATAATCAACACGGTTAGCGCGATTAGGAATGTTCTACAGTCTATTTTTTTTTTTTAACTGAACTGAATGTTCTATAGTCTATATAGATAGAGATGTGTGTATGATAATATACAGACAAAACGAAAAAACAGTGTGAGCCGTGTAAGAAGCAAATTGGGATAGCAATTGTCAATGAAATCCATAGCAACCCTTTTTTTATTTATTTTTTTCTTGAGCAAATCCATAGCAACATTCGATTATTTATTTGGGTGCCTCCCACGAGCTTTATCCACTCACCTCAACATCGTTATCCACTTAAATTCAAAGAATAAAATTAAAAGGGTCCTCAGAGTGAGGAGAGAAAAGGGACAAAAAAAGTTGGACTGTGTTCCAGCCCTACAGTCCCACATCAAATGCTTATTTCACACTTGGAAGACACTTGGAAAGAGAGAAGAGGTGAAGTCTTCTTTGGGAAAGATCTGGTCCCTTCATAAAATCTCAGGAAAATAGAAAAGGAAGTGAGAGATACTGATACACAAGAATCATTTGTGAGTTTTTGAGAGAGAGAGAGAGAGAAAGAGAGAGGATGTTGGAAGGAAAAGGTCTGATAGAGGACACAGACATGCCTGTGAAGATGCAGATCCAAGCCATGACTGCTGCTTCTCAAGCTTTGGATCTGTATGATGTTTTTGACTTAAAATCCATTGCTGCCCACATCAAAAAGGTAATATATCTGTGTGTAATTCAACCTCTGGGCTGTGTGTGTTTTTATTGCATGTCTTTTTCACTGAATCTTTTGGGTTTTTAATTTTAATTTTTTGGTGGTTTTATAATTTATAATAAAATGACAGGAGTTCGACAAGAAATATGGGAGTGGATGGCAGTGTGTGGTGGGATCGAATTTCGGATGCTTCTTCACTCATCCTAAAGGAACTTTCATCTATTTCACTTTGGAGACTCTCAATTTCCTCATCTTCAAAGGGGCTTCTTCTCCTTAAACCATCTTTCTCTGTGTGTGTGTGTGTAGCTGTTCTTGAAGTTGGTTTATGTGTTTTCAAAGTTAGCTTAGTTGTATGTGGAAATGGAAAGGAGGGTTAAAAAGAAGAAAATAACAAATACTAGGAGTCCTGTAATGCCTTAGAACAATGCTTTTTTGTACATGTTTGTTGTGTCTACTTTTCCATGTCTAATTTCATCTCTCTTTCTCTCTCCATATAAAGGCATCTAATGTAATACTAGAAATTGGATGTGTTCAAAATACTCAGCAAACCGAAGTTTAGTTCAAATCATCAACTTAATAGGATTGAATTAATTTTAGTTTAGATTATACTTGGAGAATTGAACCTATATATATGTTATGTAAAATTTTATTTATATTGATTATAATTGACTTAATTGTATTTAGTAATTTCTTAGAACGAAATCTTATTAGAGTTAATTATTTAAAAGTTTTATTTATAAATGTTAGGCTACGTCATGTCCTCTCTAAGATTTTTTAAATCAATAAGTCTTATTTAGTAAAATTAAGAATATTATCAATTTTTTTTTAATTTTAAAAATGAAGAATATTATCAATTTTGTATAATAATATTTCAGATAATTGTTTTACTAACTGATGAAAAAAAATAGAGTATGAGATTGAACGTTTTATTTTTTTACTTATTGGTTTGATTTAACTATTCAATAAGATCGAGAACATTGTTAATTTTTTTTTAGTTTTAAAATTGTGAATATTATCAGTTTTTTCATTTTTAAAATTTTTGTTTATCTTTCGAGTTTTGCGCGTCAGAACATTGACATGTTCCTTTATAGATATAACATTTTTAGTTTTGTATAAAAAAATAATTTATTTTTTTAAATTTTTTTAAAAAAATATAATTTTTTTTATTGCACATATCTATTTTTTTTTTCTAATTTTTTCAATTTAAAAGTTGGTATTTTAAAGTTTTGAAAATCAAAATAAATGTTAAATCATTATGTTCTTTTATAAATAATCATAAATGATGAACACTCATTATTTGAAAGACAATTTGGATTATTACAAATTTAATATGATTTGAAGGATTAAAAAATCTTAATTAGAATTTAATGGTGTATAAGTTCATAAATTAAGATTTGTGTATAAATACTCTGAAATTTAATCTGTATTGATTATGTTTAAGTTTGAATTAGACTTTATTATACTACTCACAGTTTGTTATTCTTTCTTTGTGTTATAGTGCGTAATTGGTTTGATACCAAGTCCAAAAACTTGAAATTGATCATAATTGGATTAGTACCAAATCTTAGAATCAACTTGAACCCAAATTTTAATGTCAACTTGAACCAAATTAACCCATGAACACCTCTAGCTAGAAGAAACCACTTGATTGGGAGGCCCCTTCCTCATTGCTTCAAGCATTTTTTGGAGAAAGTTATTAGTTAATATTATCTATCCATCGCAAGCGCATCCGTAATTTCTACAAGATGTTAGTGTATTTTGTGTGTGTGTGTGTGTGTGAGAGAGAGAGAGAGAGAGAGAGTATTATATGTGAGAATATGACTATTGAGAATGGAAGTTATTGAATTCAATGTATTTGAGAAGCATGTTGGTCAGCTCTAGTAGATCTATCATCGGCTTCAAGGGCTAAGACCTTCAGTCATTCGCTAACCCAATCTTGCACTGCACCCATAGTCTTTATGGCGAGTTGAATGACTGCAATTTCATGTACCCCTCAACAAAAAACTCTGCAGCCATCTACAATTTGAAAAGGGAAATAATCAGAGTCACTGGTGTTTGTGTTCCACTGATGACATTTCGGATTTCCATCTGCAGAATTGCAACCGTTTTGAATATGCTCTGCAACTCTGCTTTGGAACTGGTGGCGGTAGCGACACCTACGCTTCCCCAGGATGAGCTTCCGGCCTCAGCCTATCCTCCCGCTCCCATCAGATGTTGCTGGATGTACCTAAGAAAAAGAGGCACATTTGTCACTCGTAAAGGATGTACAATGTTAGTTTTCTTTTGACCGGTTTCTTAGGTTGTGTTCATTAGGAGATGAGATGATTTTTTCCGTCTAATAAGCAACACATACAGGTTGCTCCAATCATAATACTGAATGAATGAATGTGTGACCATGTTTGGTTAGATTTACAATATGGAGATTATTTAGATTAACAACTACAATATCAATGTTGTTATATGTATGTTCAATAATGTAAATAAGTACAAAAATAAATAAATTCAATTTAGCCTCACTACATATTTCAACTCCATTTATTCTCATTTTAACCTGGACCAGCTCATTCATTGGTGGTTAAATACAGATTAACCTAAAATTAATACATAAATTAAAAAATTTAAATAGAGAAGAAAAGAAAACAAAAATGACTAACATTTATCGATGAAGTGTGATAAAAAACAATATACATATTGAAACAAAAATGACCAGAATTAATGAGTTAACCAATCTCCTTTTCATGCCCTTTTACATCATTAAATCTTTGGTGAAACAACTATGTCAGATACACCAAATACTGCACAACATAAATTATCGTCTCTATCATGGGAAGGCCCATGCCATCGCATGTTTTAGGACCCCTCACCTAATGGAAAATATACATTTCAGGATGCAGAACCAACAGATGCTAATGTAACTGACAACAAAGTAATTTATTTTCTTTTCTTTTGGGCAAAAAATATCATTTTTCAAATTATGCTGGTCAAATCCATAAATATAAAGCTTCTAGAGATGGTGGGAAAACTGCCAATCAGCCATGTGGAAATACCACAAACCTTATGACTACAATTAAATTACCGGAGTCAACAGCGGCTTGTTACAAAAGTGTGCCTCCAAGTTTCCGATCACAAGGTCTGCCATAGCGTTGCTGGTTTCTACCGTGTCGCTTCCAACATGGGGGACAAGAACAACGTTTTCAAGCCCAAACAATTGTTCAGGTACCTCTGGCTCATTCTCAAACACGTCAAGCCCAGCCCCTCCCAACCGCCCTTCAAGCAATGCAGCTACAAGTTCAGATTCATCAATATGTTGGCCTCGTCCAATGTTGATGAGAACACCCTTTGGACCCAATGCGTTAATGACTTCGCGATTGACAATGTGCCGTGTTTCTTCAGTCAGAGCACAAGCAATAATAAGGATTTGACTGTCTCTAGCCAAGTTGATGATGCTAGAATAATATTTGTAATTGGTTAATGGTTTCTCGGATCTGGAGTGGTAACTAATGAAGCAGCCGAATGCCTTGGCTCTCTTTGCAATGGCTGAACCAATCCTGCCCAATCCAATAATGCCAACTGATTTACCACTGAACTGAAAGAGGAAAAAATAAATAAATAAATAAGGAGCAAAGAAAGCAGAAATATTGTAAAACTCAAAAAGGGTGAAATTAGCTTCACATTCGCATGAAAAGATTTTATGTTATATAAAAGGAAGTGAAATTATTTGTTACATTCAACCTTTGCATCATAGAAAAAGATCATCACAAGATCTAGACTCAAGGTCCATTAGGCATTGTTGTAACTATTAGAGGCCTCCTTTCTGCAATTTTTTCTTCTGTTTTCATATTCAGTCAAATTATCTCTAGCAATCACGTTTGCTATGATTATTCTTCTAGCATGCAGGGACACACAGTTTATCTATTTACTATTAAGTATTGGATGGGCAAAATTCTACAACCAACGAATCACCTGCTTAAACGACACCCACAGAAGATTGAGTTCCATCCAACTTAATGTTTGGTAGGATTCAATGAGGCATCTAATTTTTTTAAATGTGGTTACTATTAGAACTACTATTTGATACCGATGACATTGATCACAGTCGTATTTGCTATTGACAGCCACGAATGGCAAATTTCTCGTAGGATGTTGCACGAGTAGAGTAAAAGCAAACAACTAAAAGGGTATCATACAACTCATAAGAGGTAACCAAAACGTTTTATATTGTATTATTGAATAACTAAAGCATAATACAATATTAAATAGGCAAAGAAACCCTAAAATGCTAATTACATGTGTTATGACTAAATCACCCTAAGAGACTACTTAAGATAGAATATAATACAAAATATAAGAATATAATATCTCACACACCCCCTCAAACTCAGGATGCGAGTGCAAAGAGCATAGAAAGTTTGCCAAGAAGAAAATGAAAGCGAGTAGTCGTGTGAGTCTTGGTGAAGAAATCATCCAACTGAAGAGATGAAGGCACAAAGGGAAGAGCAATAGTGCCAGGTTGAAGATGCTGATGAACAAAGTGGCAATCTATCTCAATGTGCTTTGTGCATTCATGGAATACAAAATTATGAGTAATCTGAACAACACTCTGATTGTCACAGTATAATGAGGTAGGGGAAGAGAGCGAAACTCTTATATCCAAAAGAAGACAACAAAGTCATACTATCTTAAAAGTAACATGAGCCATGGCACAATACTCAACTTCGATGGTAGAACAAGCAACAACAAAATGTTTCTTGCTTTTCCAAGAAATGAGAGAATCTCCAAGAAAAACACAGAAACTCGAGATAGACTTGTGATCAGAAATATTCCCAACCCAATCAGCATTAACATAAGTTATAATAGGCAAATTGGCAGAGGAAGAGAGCAGTAAACATTGGAGCAAAGTAATACGAATGTAGTGCAGAGTACGTAAGAGAGCAGCCTAGTAGGTCGAACAGGGAGCAGAAACGTACTGGCTAAGAATGTAAGTATATGAAATGCTGAAACGAGTCACAGTAAGGTAAATTAAACAACCAACAAGCTCACGATAGGGGGCGGGATCATCAAGGAGCACACCATCCGAAGCAGAAAACTTAGCATGCAATTCAATAGGAGTGTCAACAACCTTGTCATCAGTGAGATGAGCTCGAGAGAGGATGCCACTATGCAATTAGGTACGTACTCTTTTTCCTTCTATAACAGGACTGCCGAAGTCACCACCAACGCCTTATGGCTTCATACAAAAAAACTTCAACGAAATAATTGAGATTGTGATAGTTTAGTCATAATAAGTACAAAATCAATCAATCCTTGAATTTAATAACTTTTTTGCAATTCACATCCACAGAACACACAAAAATAAATAATAAAAAAAAAAATCATAATGAGTTGTAACCCATTCAGATGAAAGGCTTTTGATTATGTCATAAAGCAAAGATTGTGTTGTAAAGAAAAATGAAATTATTAGTTGAGTTTATACATGGTATTGAAGGAAAAGATCCTAAGCAGGCATTGTTACAAATATAATAGGTTTCCTTCTAATTATTATTTTTATTCTTAATTTCTTTATTCCATTTTCATATTTAGTTATGTTACCTCTAGCAATCAAGTTTGCTATGATTACTCTTGTAGCATGCAAGTTCAGATTTGATCAACTAAAACATAATTAATAATAAGCATTTGATATATAAAATTTTACAACCAAATGGATCATTTTTGTAAAGCATGCCCACTGAAGATTGGAGCCCATGCAACTTAAATGTCTGGTACAAAACTGAGGCATCTAATTCTACTTGATATGGTTCCTATTAGAGCCATTATCTCGTACTCATGAAATTGATCACAATTGCTTTTGCTAGTGATTGTCATAACAAGTGGTCAATCCCAAATGGAAAACCCAATAGGATTTTACATAATGTATATAAGAAAATTTTCCATCACCTAGAAGGGATCAAATGACTCTGCAATTAGATAGATGATTTTTCTCCCCTTCCAATTCAGCCTTTATCTTTGTCATTCCATCAAATTGGGTGTAGAAGCCACCACCAACAACAACTAAGGAGTTCATACAAAACATGAAAATGCGACCGATCCGTTTGGCATGTCCAAGTTTTTTTGTAGTCCTTGTGTGGTGACCCCAACGTGCATATCATTTTTATATATAATTTCGTTAAGAGAATTTGCATATATATGTGTTAATTTAGTGCTTATTTGTTTGTTCATGAAAAATCTGTTCAACTATTTACTTTGAATAAAAAATTAAAGGCCCAAACGGACTCTGAAACCAAAATTGACTAGTTCAATAGGTTAATTAGAATATTTAGAATCATATGACAAGTTTGATTAAAATTTGATTCGGACCAAAATAATTAGAATAAATTGATTAACACTCAACTAGATTAACTAACCCTAAGCTAGATTAATTAGTCTAACATAATCCACCCTATATATATATATATATATGATATAAGCTTAGTTATGAGCTCAATATACAATATTTGGCTGAAAATTGTAGAGAAGGAGAAGAGCAGCTCCTTTAGAGAGAGAAGGAGAGGAATTGTGAAGAATTAAGAAGGGATTTGAGGGAATTAAGCTACCAATCTTCAATTACAAGCTCTAGGTATGCATTACAATCATAACTCTTGTAAATAATTCATGTAGGAGTTGAATTCATGTAGTAATAAGAGTAATTTTCATGTTATCGATGAGTGGAAGGAAGAATCAATTTGAATTTGGAAGAAATGAGTTAATTATAGGCATGCATGCATAATTCCATCACATTCAATCATTTTGAGCTTGAATCTTTAGTGTTCTTGTTAAATTAAGGGTTGAATTTTAGATGCAATAGAAACTTCCAAGCTTTCAAAGGTTTAATTCCATGTTTGAAGATTTTGAAGAAAGTTTGAAAATGATTACATAAATGCATGAAGAATTTTGTTTCAGAATTTGCCATTCATGTTATTTCTAAGCTCATGGTTTCAATTGGGTTATAAACATATTTATCTATGAATTCTCCATGTTTTTGGAACCAGCCATGCAAGACATACAATTTAAACTCATGTTTTTGCACTTTGAATTATGTTATGAAAATTCCAAAATTCGACCACTTCACTCAAGCGATTAAGTCTTCGCTTGAGCACACTTTGCATTCATCCAGTAGTTTTACAGGCACATTGCACATGGCTCGAGCGAACCCCTTTGCATTTCACTTGGCTCGAGCGACCAAGTTATGACTCGAGCCCACTTTGATACTATCCAATACTTTTGCAGACAGGCCACACCACTCCAGCAACCAAAAGGTGTGCTCGAGCAAACTACCCTGTTTTCAGCATTTTTGAAACACACTCTCATGTGTATGTTTTCATCCTCCTGCTATTTTAGACATTCTTAAATAATGTTTAGACATCATTAATAAGAAAATGAATTAGAAACACATAAAATGGAATTGAATTAAGATAGAACATTTGATTAAGATAAGTATTTCAATGTGTACCTTTATTATGTATTTTGTGTAAGTGGTTGTCCAAGGCTTAATATCGGTACAACCCACTGTAAGTAATATCTTTATAAAGATATGTTCGAAAAGTATTTTGAATTGTTCAAGAATGTTATTTTGAAATTTTATTTTGTTATCTATGAATGAAGATCCTTTTCGAGCTTGTAATCGTGACATCCTTTAGTGAGGCCCTTGCCTGGGGAAAACAATGCCATAGCCCATTAGATTAATTGAAACACAGAGATCTCTGATGTTAGACCCTGGTGGTCCACATTTAGTTACCCATTGTAGTGTTATCGTATGACCTGTTGTGGTCCCATTGAATCGACCTTAATGGTCCCATTGGAATTGGTACATAGATTTATTGTTAGATGTTACCACGTATAAAGATTTGAATGGTTATTGTTTACAGAAGGTTTCAACGTGATTGAATATATGATTGCTATTCGAATTGATTTGGCTATTGAAAAGTTATGTTTATAAAATTATGGACTTCATTTATTAAACCTTTATATTGATGTTGCTCACTGGGCTCTAACTCACCCCTCTCCTATATATATATGTAGGTGAGCAAGTGGAATGTCAAGTCTAAGGAAACCTCGGAGTCTACCCTTGTGAAGCTATTTTGGAATGCCTCTGTGATGGGCGTGCTTGGACTCGAGTGGAGCCAAGCATGGTCAACCCTTCTTCTGCTTAGTTTAGTTTTTGTTATTTTGAATTTTGTTTTGGGATGGATGTTTGTAAAAGATGTTTAAATTCGTTATGATGTAACTATGTAAGTAGAATGGAAGTTCATTTTACGATGAAGAGGTCTTTCATGTATGCATTGCTCAATGGATTATCTTTTATATTTGTTATTGCTTTTGCCAAGCCCCGTTAAATATATTATGATCGATTTTGTCTTTTAAGTCCGAAGGTAATCTGGGATTACTAGCTGTGGGTATCTACACTATACTTAGCACGTGGCGAGCCCAACGGATGTCACGTCAGAACCACTACACATCCACGTGGCAGACCCCTGAGGCACCACGATGAGTTGAGATTGTATGCCTAGCCTAAGCGGGGGCATGCACATCACCAAGAATGAAACAAGGCCA